ATTCGCAAAATCAACGAAATCGTGAAAATCGAGGAAAAATTAATTAAATCTCGAGAAACGGTATATTTTAATTTATTTAGCAGCGTGAATTGTTTTCGACCGAGTTCATGCGAGGACTACGTGAAAATAATAATTATAATAACAGGAGGAATTGCGAAGTATAATAATGGTAATTTTGCGAAGTAGGTGAAACTGGAGCAGGTGTGAAAAACAAAGTTTTCTTTGAAGAAAATTACAACTCTCGTGTCACGAATAAATACCGTGCTCTATGGGGGCTTCAATAGATTATTATTTTAACAAGCTGCATTGTGGTATAAATTATTCTCCGGTACATGGGTGCCTGCAATCACTGTGGGAAGTTCAGTCATTTTAATTCAATCAAATTTATGTGCATCTTAATTATATAGCTGGTTAAGGAAGTATATACTAATTACGAGTATCGATATGAATGAATAATTCAGAGTTCACAGTCCAATAATTAATTTATCAAAATCGAAATACAAAAATTTGATTATTTCTGTATTTACGAAAATAAAATTGCTGATAAATAATTTTTCTGATATTCCTGGAATCGAGGAAAATATGATAACATGAAACGTCTATGTAGTAACCTAATCTTAATTATATCGTGAATTAAATAAGTATATACTAATTACGAGTATCGATAGGAATGAATAATTCAGAGTTAATGTCAAATAATTAATTTATCAAAAATTTGATTATTTCTGTATTTATGAAAATAAAATTGTGGATAAATAAATTTCCTGATAATCCTGGAATGGAAGGTAAAATATACATGATGAAAATGGATATAAAATAGAGAAATGTGCTCTTCGATAACATGAAACGTCTATGTGGTAACATGTCAATTGGTAATGATCATGTTCGTATTAGATACCAATTAATCTTCCTTTCAGTACACGTCAATTTCAAGAAGAGCATTAGTAATATCGCAACTGCCTGTTTGCCTAGCACACTGATCACTTAACATTGCTCCAAACATGGGGGCGAAAGTCAGTCGAAAGTATTCGAAGCACACTCCGTTGCGCAATTTTCGACAGAAGCTAATGCTTAAAATGTAGAGCTAACACACCAACAGCATTCTAATCGGCGTCCATCGTTACATATAAACACGTAAATATCCCCCAAATTTCAGTGTTTACAAAATTCGACCTCCATTCACACGTATAACAACATAACAACCATTCATTGAAGAATTTCAATCCTTCGTGGTTATGTCAAATATCTGTGTCAAACACTAGAAAATCATACTTCGATTTAATTACAATTGGATTGGTTAGATTCCAATTGTTAGCATTGTATCTGGAAATAATCTATAATTATATTCTGACAATGAGTATTATATTCCTATAACGTAGTCTCAGTTTCTAAACAGTAGTGTCATACTCTGACCCCTAACTTCTTGATTCGTGTCTTATCTTCCTAACTATCTAAGATTTCAGCTTCTTAATTAAAAGTCCATTTTTCTTAGGTTAGATTAACTGACTCTATTCTAAGAAACTTACACGATAGTCTTCATCATCACACCTATACAACATCAATGTCCTACCTGTAGTTGTATATGTACATCCCTTAGCCCAGGCCAATTAACCCTATTCTAGGAAACCCATCTCTATGATGATCATTCTCGATGTGTCTCTATGACATCTCTTGATCTACATTTCACTCCCAATTCATAGTTCTCACAGACTCTAACTGGCTAAACACGAATATCCCTTAGCCTCAGAACTCTGAACTCAGACCACAGACCTCATAATTAATACCGAGTGTCTCATAATCGCGTATAAAGGACTGTTAACATGCACGAAGAAGCGAATGACAGGTAATTCAGTTATCGAATCCTCTGAGTTCTATTTTCAGAACTCAAATCGGTGGAATAATATCTAACCAATTAACCTCGTCACAGCCACGTCGATTTTCTACCTCTAACTCGTCAGCAGACGAAAAATCCAGCTGTGTGCCTACCTCTATGCCCCCGCAAGTCGTGTGCGAGTACAAGCTAGCGTGGTCAACCTAGTGACCTGGTACATTGGACGCTATCAACGATGAACCAGCACAGGGACACCTACCCGACCTATACAGGACCCACCCCGCGTCAAAGCTCGCGTGGCAAGAGATCGACACGTGTACGATGTTGATAAGTTTAAATAATTATGGTTACTTCAACGATTGATTATTCCTAAATTTTATTTATTATTTATTATTGTCGCAAGAAAATTGTACAATATTATAGAATATTATAGAATACAATACATATATGCTGTTAAGACTGAAATATATGTATACACAAAATGTTCTGCAAGAATGACCCCTTCATGGAGGTTGAAGCTGCATTAATAATAAGAAAACGAATGCTTTTCTTCGCAAGAAAGTGATCGCGCGAAGATAATAAAATAATAGAAACGAATTTAAAGAGTTAACGTTCACTTTCGTTCGCAGAACAAACAGCGAGGAAAACCGGAGAAATTAAAAAGCGTTGTTCACGTTTTTACGCGAGTTTTCGCATAATTAATTGTTCGATCTCACGGGAGAAGTTCATGAGTGAAAACCGGAGTGGATGAAAATTCCCACAGGAGTGAAGAAAGAGCGAACCCTTCCCTTTCCCTATAAGGAAAATGCTTTCGTTAATTATGATTAATTTTCTATGAATGGCAACGCGTGAGCACAAGGAACGATATTACGTTGCAACACAATCGTTTGCTACACGTAATTGTTAACTCGTAACGAAGCATTTGCATTAAATATAAAGGAAACAAAAACGGATACCTAACGAGTAATGAAAATCATTCGCAAAATCAACGAAATCGTGAAAATCGAGGAAAAATTAATTAAATCTCGAGAAACGGTATATTTTAATTTATTTAGCAGCGTGAATTGTTTTCGACCGAGTTCATGCGAGGACTACGTGAAAATAATAATTATAATAACAGGAGGAATTGCGAAGTATAATAATGGTAATTTTGCGAAGTAGGTGAAACTGGAGCAGGTGTGAAAAACAAAGTTTTCTTTGAAGAAAATTACAACTCTCGTGTCACGAATAAATACCGTGCTCTATGGGGGCTTCAATAGATTATTATTTTAACAAGCTGCATTGTGGTATAAATTATTCTCCGGTACATGGGTGCCTGCAATCACTGTGGGAAGTTCAGTCATTTTAATTCAATCAAATTTATGTGCATCTTAATTATATAGCTGGTTAAGGAAGTATATACTAATTACGAGTATCGATATGAATGAATAATTCAGAGTTCACAGTCCAATAATTAATTTATCAAAATCGAAATACAAAAATTTGATTATTTCTGTATTTACGAAAATAAAATTGCTGATAAATAATTTTTCTGATATTCCTGGAATCGAGGAAAATATGATAACATGAAACGTCTATGTAGTAACCTAATCTTAATTATATCGTGAATTAAATAAGTATATACTAATTACGAGTATCGATAGGAATGAATAATTCAGAGTTAATGTCAAATAATTAATTTATCAAAAATTTGATTATTTCTGTATTTATGAAAATAAAATTGTGGATAAATAAATTTCCTGATAATCCTGGAATGGAAGGTAAAATATACATGATGAAAATGGATATAAAATAGAGAAATGTGCTCTTCGATAACATGAAACGTCTATGTGGTAACATGTCAATTGGTAATGATCATGTTCGTATTAGATACCAATTAATCTTCCTTTCAGTACACGTCAATTTCAAGAAGAGCATTAGTAATATCGCAACTGCCTGTTTGCCTAGCACACTGATCACTTAACATTGCTCCAAACATGGGGGCGAAAGTCAGTCGAAAGTATTCGAAGCACACTCCGTTGCGCAATTTTCGACAGAAGCTAATGCTTAAAATGTAGAGCTAACACACCAACAGCATTCTAATCGGCGTCCATCGTTACATATAAACACGTAAATATCCCCCAAATTTCAGTGTTTACAAAATTCGACCTCCATTCACACGTATAACAACATAACAACCATTCATTGAAGAATTTCAATCCTTCGTGGTTATGTCAAATATCTGTGTCAAACACTAGAAAATCATACTTCGATTTAATTACAATTGGATTGGTTAGATTCCAATTGTTAGCATTGTATCTGGAAATAATCTATAATTATATTCTGACAATGAGTATTATATTCCTATAACGTAGTCTCAGTTTCTAAACAGTAGTGTCATACTCTGACCCCTAACTTCTTGATTCGTGTCTTATCTTCCTAACTATCTAAGATTTCAGCTTCTTAATTAAAAGTCCATTTTTCTTAGGTTAGATTAACTGACTCTATTCTAAGAAACTTACACGATAGTCTTCATCATCACACCTATACAACATCAATGTCCTACCTGTAGTTGTATATGTACATCCCTTAGCCCAGGCCAATTAACCCTATTCTAGGAAACCCATCTCTATGATGATCATTCTCGATGTGTCTCTATGACATCTCTTGATCTACATTTCACTCCCAATTCATAGTTCTCACAGACTCTAACTGGCTAAACACGAATATCCCTTAGCCTCAGAACTCTGAACTCAGACCACAGACCTCATAATTAATACCGAGTGTCTCATAATCGCGTATAAAGGACTGTTAACATGCACGAAGAAGCGAATGACAGGTAATTCAGTTATCGAATCCTCTGAGTTCTATTTTCAGAACTCAAATCGGTGGAATAATATCTAACCAATTAACCTCGTCACAGCCACGTCGATTTTCTACCTCTAACTCGTCAGCAGACGAAAAATCCAGCTGTGTGCCTACCTCTATGCCCCCGCAAGTCGTGTGCGAGTACAAGCTAGCGTGGTCAACCTAGTGACCTGGTACATTGGACGCTATCAACGATGAACCAGCACAGGGACACCTACCCGACCTATACAGGACCCACCCCGCGTCAAAGCTCGCGTGGCAAGAGATCGACACGTGTACGATGTTGATATAGGAAGCAAAGAAAGTGGTTTTGTGTACATACCAAAGTTATAATCCTCATGGTGCACGCGTCGGAAACGAGGAGGGTACAGGTAGCCGGGAACGATCCTCCGAGAGTTTCACTGAGAGAGTGCAGTCGTATAGTACGGAGCTCGGTCCTTTATAACCTATACGAACGCTTTTGCTTATAGTGGGGGCTTCCACGGCTAGTAACCGCGTCCTCTTGGACACGGCGTGTAACAGCCGCAAATTAGATTCCCCAGAGGCCGGGCGACGGCATGGCCATTGCCAAACCAGAACGCCACGGGGCCTGACATTGCCAAATTGTATGGGAGTGCGTGAAACGTAACGTTGCATTATGTGAACGTGCGTGGACGCCTGCAGGAATATAGGTCGAGCTCGCACGCTGATCGAGAGAAGAGTTTTATAATCGCGAATCGATAATGATCTAGCCGGGAAGTGCTCTTTCGCGTAGGTCGCATTTCGATTCGCGGCTGACCCGATGACGCAAGGTGGAGCGATTTCGAGTAGGTTCTAAGGTGTAACGCGTTTTAGGTTAGCTTCCCATTTGTATGGGCTAGGTGACGACGTTGCGGAACGGATTATACGAGGATTCTTTTCCTCCACTCGAAATTTACGCGGCCAAGTCGAGTCTTTGTCTGATCCATGGGTGATATAACGTTAGCTTGTTAGGCTTATATTATTTGCTAATGACATGCCTATCTTTTCTGAGTAATTAAATGTTTCTAATGGGCAGGTTCTGGTGAGCGGTTTTTCGTTATGTGTGCAGCGTATTTATCTATCTTCGGTATTTTTATCTGTTGAGGTCTTAATTGATAAACTTATTTTTCAATGTAGTTTTCTAATTGCGATTCCCTGCTTGGTCTATCGATGTTGCGCATCGTGATCCTAGCTTGATTCGACTTTTAATTCTCTTCGTTTGCCGAGAATTTTGTGTTTTTCAGGTAAGGTGATAAATCACTGGATCTGCTAGAAAGTATGAAATAGTAATTTATGGGTGCACGTGGAACATCTTCTGACGTAATGGCTTATCTTTTCTTAGCTTTACATTCAAATGTTTCGGAATTCCTATGATGTACCATTAATGGAAATATTAACAAGGAATAAAAAGTTGCAATTTTGCAGAGTCTATAGTATAGTTAATTTTCAATCAAATACCACGTCACAGGATCCTCATCTCAATAATAATAATTAATAATTAATAACAATGATTAATACTAATACTAATAATAATTATTAGTAATAATTAGTCATCCTAGAATAATAATAATTAGTCATTAGTCATCGTATAATTATAACAGTAACAAGTTCTTAATCTATACATTTAATTTTAATTCCCATGTGTCATCGAATTGACATAATTAAATAATTGAAAACCATTAATGGAAATATTAATAAGGAATAACAAATTATAATTTTGTAGAGTCTATATTATAGTTAATTTTCAAATATCACGTCACAGGATTCTCATCTCAATAATAATAATTAATAATCTATAATTAATACTAATAATAATTAATAATTAATAATAATAATTAATAGTAATAACTAATCATTCTAGAATAATAATAATTAGTCATTAGCCACCGCACTATATGTAATAATTAACAATTAATAGTGATAATTAATAGTAATAATTAACAATTAATAATTAGTCATTCTAGAATAATAATAATGATAATCAATAGTAATAATTAACAATTAATAATAATAATTAATAATAGTAATTAATAGTAATAATCAGTCATCCTAGAATAATAATAATTAGTCCTCAGTCATAATGCAATCGTAACAGTAACAAGTTCTCGATCTATACATTTAATTCTAATTCCCATGTGTCATCAAATGGGCATAATAAAATAATTGAAAACAATCACACACTTTCCAATCCACTCTCCTATTGACCAAGTTTTAATTTCTATACCCAATTCCTTTCCTATTAAATAATTATATATTTAATTCCACTTATTCCTCCTTCAACCTCTACATTATTCATTCAATTACGATATTTGCGTGCCATAAAATTATTCGTCGAAATAATCGGAAAGTCAGCCACAAACGAGTCTCATCAATTACCAAGAAATTATTCATACACATCCTTTCATTGACGAATGTCCTCCATCCAACTAACGCATTTATCATCGCGATATTAACGCGATTGACAGAATAGTTATGGTAAAACGTTACCAGAAGCTTTCTCACGTGCTATAACTACAGAACCGTATCCTCCAATACATAAAACCATTACTCACGAATTTTCTCGAAAATAGGAAGCTTAGTATCCCTTCTCCTCCCTCATTGAAGAGGTTCCAGGTGTTAATTAATAGTGTTTTAATCGCGATGAACGCTCTCCATACGGTATTCCTATTGGAAGAAAGTGCCGGTGTGTATCGCGTGGTACAATCATCGACGATATCTAAAACGTCTTGAAAATGCTGCATCTTAATTTGGGAGAGTCGTAATTGATGTTTCTACTTCACACGCCGCGCGGAACACGCGCGCCATCTGAAACGTTCAGAGATCGGTCCGCGCTTTCGCTGATCCCGCCAACCGTATACCTCGAGGATTATTATTTATTATTATTCGTTATCAATCCGGTCGATTTATTCGTATTCGTGCACGCGATTTTGAAACACTTGGAACGTCCGAATATCGGTCGAAAATTGGCGTTAAATCGACTTTAAAGTGGTTAGGTGCGAAGTATTTTATCTTTGCTCTCAGCTCCAGCGAGTCGAGATCGAGATTGCATTCAGGCGCACGTGAAGAATCGTAAGTTAGTTTGAATTACGATAACTCCGTGTATGGATATTCTTCGATGCACGTGAGGATAATATGTAAATCGTCTTTTTATTATAGGTTATGTAGGAAGCGATGAATTTTGCGTCTAAACTCTCCAAAGGTATGGTTATTTGTCTGGTGATTTAACAGTTGATTAAAACACTAGATTCCAGATTAATGAATATCTGGTAATTTGAAATTACATATATGAAAATTCGTGCTTTAATTAGGAAATATCTGGGTACGTACATGAGGCCTGATTGAGGCAACTGAATTAGTACTTCGTTATTATATACATGCCTAAAGAGGTAATTAGAGGGAGATTTTATGTTGTAATTAACATACTCGCAGTGTTAAATAATGGAGAACTTGGCATGAAACTAAAAGAATTAGCTCATAATACACCAGAAGTATAATATTATTCAGGAACTATCGTGACTTGCATATTCCTTCTCATAATTGTGAATTCTAAAAATTATTGCAATCTCTCCTGTGTGCTTGGAAATTGAATCCTTAACTTTTGCATCGTTTTATACCTATGCTATGAATAGTTATACCTTATATCAAGTACCTCATTATAGAAACTGAAAGACATATCCATGTTGATATGTCATCGATATGTCAGGCCACATACCTAATTACACTCTCCAAAAACGTGGTATCAAGAACGTGTGAACAATTTGCGAATAAGTATATCCTCTCAAGATCTAGTCACAATGTATACCAATATTACTATTATAATGAGACAATTAATTAAAAGTCTGTCTGACTACATATACCATACATTTTCTCACACAATTGACATACTTCTGTTAACCTGTGTAAATTGCATTTGTTTTTGTATGGCAACTAGTCATACATTTTAATCTTCAGTCTAGAAACTGGGTGTCACTGACAGGTATTAGAAATGCCATACCTAAACACTGACTGGTACCCATGTACCATAATCCCCTACCAAATACCCAACTATATTTTCCAGAAAATGTAACACATTAGGGACGTGTGAAGGAATTTGCGAGTGACCTCATCTTTGCAATGATAGATTTCTGTCAAAATCTAGTCGGCACGTGTCCCCTATAACTGTCACAACAAGATACTGAATTAAAATCATGTTCTAAGAGCTAGATACAGTAGCCATGGGATACCTAGAAACTGGGTGTCACTGACAAGGTATTAGAAATACCATTTCTAGACACTGGCTAGTATCATAATCCTCCATCAAATATCCAACTATATTTTCCGAAAAATGTAACACTCCAGGGACGTGTGAAGAAATTTGCGAGTGACCCAATCTTTGTAATGACAGAATTCTGCCAAAATCTAGTCGTCACGTGACCCCTATAACTATCGCACCAAAATAGTCATTTAAAATCAGTACTACTTCTAGAGCCATCGAGTACCTAGAAAGTGGGTGTCAGTGACCAGGTATTAGAAATACTACTCCTTGACATTGACTAGTATCATAATCCCCTACTAAATACCCAACTATATTTTCCAGAAAATGTAACACACCAGGGACGTGTGGAGAAATTAGCAAGTGACCTCATCATCGCAATGACAGAATTCTGCCAAAATCTAGTCGTCCCGTGTCCCTATAACTGTGGTACCAATATTAAATTAAAATCAGTACTACTTCTAGAGCCATCGAATACCTAGAAACTGGATATCAGTGACCAGGTATTAGAAATACCATTCTTAGACACTGACTAGTATCATAATCCCCTACCAAAATATCCAACTATATTTTCCAGAAAATGTAACATACTAGAGACGTGTGAAGAAATTAGTAAGTAAACCTATCTTCGCAATGACAGAATTCTGCCAAAATCTAGTCGTCACGTGTCCCTATAACTATCGTGCCAAGCTAGTCAATTAAAATCAGTACCACTTCTAGAGGTAGGAATAGCAGCCATCGAATACTTAGAAGCTGGGTGTCACTAATGAGCTATTAGAAATGCTACTCCTAGACATAATCCCCTACCAAATACCCAACTATATTTTCCAGAAAATGTAACACACCAGGGACGTCTAAAGAAATTTGCGAGTGACCCCATCTTCGCATTGACAGAATTCTGCCAAAATCTAGTCGTCACGTGTCCCTTATAACTATCGCATCAAGCTACTGAATTAAAATCAGGTTCTAAGAGCTAGAAACAGTAGCCATCGGATACTCCCATAATGTAGAAAGCGAGTCTCACGAAACAGCCATGGAACTCCGTATTTCTTGACTACATTAGGTGGACTTTGAATGCAAAAGCTGGATGAAATGAATAACGCGAAGAACCTGCTTTATCGGTGATGATTTATACACGATCCC